CGGCAGCAGTGGGGACGAGCTCAGGGAGGACGAGGAGCCCATCAAGAAACGGGGCCGCAAGGGCCGGGGCCGGGGGCCACCCTCCTCCTCCTCGTCCTCCTCCTCGTCCTCCTCCTCGGAGCCCGAAGTGGAGCTGGAGAGAGAGGTGCGTGCCTGGGGGGCCGCCGTGCTCCGTCCTGTCCCTGACCCACCTTCACTCCGTGCCTTCCCTGGGCACCTGATGGGTGCTGGGTGCCGTTCTGGGTGCCGGGGATACAGTGGGAAAGCAGCTAGTCAGCCCCAGCCCAGCCCAGCCCTGCAGGAGCTGACCGCACAGGATGTTGTACACGGTGACCCCATCTGGTTGACTTGACTCTTTCAGTACCTTTATGCTGGGCAAGCCCTCGTCTCTGAGTCACACCCCTTGTACCTCTTCTGTTTTAAATAGGGTAGATCCAGAAGACTTCACTTGACATTGTAACTTCTGTGTGAGGGGAATCTGGGGAAGCAGTCCATGCAGAACACCTGTGCAAAGGCCCTGGGGCAGAACAGCCCAACACAGTACAGGAGCATCAAGGAGCCCATGTGGCTGAAGCAGAGGGAACGGGGCAGAGAGGGAGGAGGAGAGATGGGAAGAGGGGACAGGCAGGTCATACAGGGCATGTGGGCTGCAAGCAGGATTTGGGACTTGGCAGGGAGGTGGGAGTCATGGAGAGCTGAGGACAGAGGAGGGAGGACCTGACTCATGGCACTTTGTGTTGCTCTGAGGGAACAGCTTGTGGATGAGCATGGGAGTAGTGAAGAGGCCTCTTTGACAGCTGGTGACTGTGAGGACTGCTGTATACAGTGTTTGGGAGCTGTGGGCCCCATGAAACCCCCCACCTCGTGACCTTGGCGGTCTGGCCTGATGCAGTCTGACGGTAGATGACGTTGTAGACTGAGCTTAGGGACCCTGGCCTTAATGTCTCCCGTCCAGACCTTTTACAGGGAGCACCCCCTTTTGTCATAACAGGGGTGCTCCTTCCTGGCCCAAAAAGTACCTGCTGTGCTCAGAGCTGCTGAGCAGGAGTGTTGTGGCTTTGGCCCTCTGTGGGTGCAGCTCTGGACTCTGACCCCTGAGGTCCCCGGGGGTCTGAGAAGGGCTGCAGGGTCCTGCCCTCCCTCCCATCCAGCCCACAGGAGAAGGCAGCAGAGTTGAGCTTCACCTCCACGTGGGCTGAGTTGAGCCCCTCTGCGCACTGCTCATACCCCTACTTTGCTCGGGCTGCCACAGGGGAAGAAGTCCACCAAGAAGTTGCAACCGCAGAGCACAGAGCCCACAAGGAAGCCCAGCCAGAAGGAGAAGAGAGGGCGACCTGAGGAGAAGCCCCGGACCAGGTCAGCGACTGCCTGCCGCTGCCTGGCCCTTCCCCTGGCCTGACCCCTCTGCTGTTCAGCACCCTGGGGTGCCCTCTGGCTTCTGGTTCTGGGTTCAGTTGGAGCCTGAGGCGCCCAGGGTTCCCAGTTCTTGGTCTCATCAGGCTGGGAGCACTGCTCCAGCGTTGTGGTCCTTCTCCTAGGCTAGGGTCTCCCTTGGGCGTGACCGTGCTCCCGGGGGACACTGGGCAATGTCTGCAGAAATTGGTGGCTATTGGGACTGGAGGAGCTCCAGGCACAGAGCAGGTGGAGGCCAGGGACGCCCCCCAGATCGATCCTCCGCCCCAGGTTCCGCAGTGCCACTGGCACGGTGGCTTTGGATCCAGGGCCCACGGAGGTGAGGATGAGCCCATCTCCCTGCCTGCTTGTAGACGGGATTCCAGCTGTGGTGAACAGCTGCCTGGGAGCCTGGCGGCGGCATGGTAGCCGCGCTGTGTGGCAGACTGTGCACTCCTTGTGTCGGTGAAGAGTGGAGCACCAGTGCTTTTCAATAATTTGTTTGCCAAGTGTTATCTAACCAGTTCTCTACCACGTGTGTGAGGAAGAATTGTTGGTACTGAGTACTGAACCTGGGGTTTTGTTTTGCACTGAGCTATATCTCCAGCCAGCCTTTTTTTTATTTATTTTGAGATAAGGTCTCACTCAGTCACCCTGGCTGGGCTCAAACTTTTGGTCCTCCTAGGGCTGCAGGAGGATTGTGTGAGTTCAAGGCCAGGATGGACTATATAGCAAGGCTCTTTCTCACAGAATTAAAAAAAACAAAAGTTTTGATCCTCCTGCTGCAGCCTTTAAGAGTACTGGGAAGGCCAGGTGTGGTGGCGCACGCCTGTAATCCCAGCACTTGGGAGGCTGAGGCAGGAGGATTGCTATGAGTTCCAGACCAGCCTGGGCTACATAGTGAGTTTCAGGTCAGTCTCAACTACATAGTGAGACCCTGTCTCAACCCCCCCCCAAAAAAAAAAGAGTCCTGGGAAGATAGGTGTGCACTGTACCCCTGGCAGGAATTCTAGGGTCTCCTGTATTTGTTAATAGAGGGAGGGCTTGGGTCTCTGGTCAGCGGCTCCTGAACGAGCTCACATCAAGGGTTTGACCTGGCCCTTTACCCAGATCGCAGGGCCTCCCGAAGGCTTGTGCAGGGTGAGGAGAGTGGCGGGGCGGGGCCCAGATGGCCACAGGGACAGGTTGGCCAGGCTGTCTGAGGGAACGCGCCTCCCCACAGGCCCACGAAGGTAGAACGGACCCGGAAGCGGTCGGAAGGGCTCCCGCTGGACCGGAAGGGGGAGAAGAAGAAAGGTCAGTGCACGCAGTGGAGGCTGCTGTGGGAGATGCCGGGCCAGTCGGGTCACAAGTCCCAGGGCAGGGTGCTGGCCAGGTCCTGAGGAGCTGAGGCACACCCTGCAGTGCGTGCAGGGTGAGGGGGCGTCACTGGCTGCTACCCCAGCTGGCCCGCCTCTTGGCCTGGGCCTACAGGCCCTGCTCAGGCCTTGTGTCTCCTGGCCCAGAACCTTCTGTGGAGGAGAAGCTACAGAAGCTGCACAGTGAGATCAAGTTTGCCTTGAAGGTCGACAACCCGGTAAGAAGCTCCTGAGGCCTCTGGGCCAAGGCCTCCTAAGCCAGGTTGTCCCACCATCAACTCATTTCCGGCGCTCCCTAGAGGTCTTGGGAGGCTGAGGCACATCGGGGATCCTGCAGGGCAGGCTTTTGTTCATCAGGTGAGGGCCCGGGGTGAGGTGCAGAGCCCGGCTTCCCCAGCAGGAGCCTTGGGAGCCCCAGGAACCCCACTGAGTATCCGGGCCTGCACCAGTAGGGTCAGCAGAGGCAGCAGACAGATGGCCCTCCCTGCCTGTGCTGCCGGTCCTCACTCCCACCCCTCACAGGACGTGAAGAGGTGTCTGAATGCTCTGGAGGAGCTGGGGACCCTGCAGGTGACCTCTCAGATCCTGCAGAAGAACACAGATGTGGTGGCCACGTTGAAGAAGGTACGGCAGGGATAGCAGGTGGTGGTTGGCAGGGCCTGTGGATGTGGTGGCAGGGGCTGGAGGGAGGGTCCTAGTGGGCAGCCAGCTGCTCTGGGTGAGCCCAGCTGTTCCCGCCAGATCCGTCGCTACAAAGCCAACAAGGAGGTGATGGAGAAGGCGGCGGAAGTCTACACCCGGCTCAAGTCACGCGTCTTGGGGCCCAAGATTGAGGCGACCCAGAAAGCAAACAAGACCGGAACAGAGAAGGAGAAGGCCGAGGTGGACAAGGCGGAGAAGCTTGCCGGGGAGGAGACCACCAAGGAGCAGGCGGAGGACGAGCCCAGCCTGCGTGTGGGTGGGTGGCAGCCCGACCTCCATGCTTTGCGGAACGTCCTAGGGCCTGGGGCTACGCGCTGCTCTCCCTCACATACTGGCGGTGTGGTGCTCCCTCGGGCGTCTCCGCAGACCTCGCTGTCTGTCTCAGGGAAGCCGATCCCGGTGTCGCTGCTCTGCCGAGTGCCGGGCAGGCTGCAGCAGCCTGGAGCACTGACAGTGCCACGGGGAGGCCGTCGGAGCAGTGGCTGCCTGTCAGGGCCGGGGCTGGGGCAGAATCCAGCTGTGCCCAGCACATCCCCCTGGGGGGTCCGGGCACGCCCAGCCCCAGTCCAGGAGCTCTGAGGAAAGTCGGGGTCCCATAGTCAGCTCACTGGGCAGGTAGGGTTTCTGAACCAGGGCCCGGGCACTGTACCACGAACCCTCTGTCGCCCCAGATCTCTCGGCCCCTGTGAACGGAGAGGCCATGTCGCAGAAGCGGGAGAGCATGGAGGACAAGGAGCAGGAGGATGGGCAGGACTCGGAGGAGGGCCTGCGGCGCAGCTCCTCGGAAGACCTGCACAACGAGTGAGTGTCCTCTGTGAGGGGCGGCCTCCGCGGGGCCAGGGGGCAGCGATTCTGTGCCAGCTGGTCACCCTCTCCCCACCTGCACCTGTACTCAGTGCTGGGGCTTTGGGCTCCCGGACAGGTGGCTGCTTTCCCATGAGCCTCCAGGACTGGCCTGGCAGGCGCCATTCTCCAGCACGGCCACCTGACCCACGGCAGCCAGTGCCGAGGGCCGCAGGTGTGCCCCTGGCCAGG